GAAGAGCGCACAGCGCGGCAGGTAAGGTAACCCGGGGCTTCTGCGCGCTTTCCCACGCGGGATCCGCTTGCTTGCGCGTGTGTCGGTGCGAGCGCGCCTCTGCTGCTGGGGCAGGTATTTTAGGGTAGAGGGGGGGGGGATAGGTTTCCACGCGCTGGATGGGTTCTTCTGCTAAGACGGACCGAATGGATTTCACTTGGCTTTAAATGCTGCTTTATATTCCTAAATAGAACTTTCTCTCTTTCTCCTTTTCTCTTTCTCCTTCTCTCTTTCTCCTTCTCTCTCTCTCTCTCTTTCTCTCTTGTTCTTTGCAGTTGATGCGAAGTGCCTCCGAGCATGTGCAGAATTCCTTTCCTTCACCACGCTGAGGTTTGGGTTCGTCTATCGCAGAAGCCAAATTTCAGGTCCCTTTGTGGTGTGCCTGAGCCCCCCTCTCTGTTAGCAATCGAGCCACGTGCTGTCCCCAGGTCTTTCCCAGCTGTGTTTGCACTCAGGTGCCACCACACATTTAAGCCCCATCCAGATGTTGCACCCACAGCTTGCACACCTGGTTCTGGAGAAACCACATTTCCCTTCCGTTTGAACGGTATGAGTTTTGAGGGAAATGCAGTCCTCCTGCCTGTCAACAGGCAATCAGTGCAGCACTGGGTATTGGCACCTGTGGTTGTGCCGTCAGCACCGACTGGCCAGCGGCTGTGCTGCCGCAGAGGGGAGAGCCACCTATTTCGTTCTGCTGCTTGAAGACTCAAGACTCTGCCGCTTGAAGACAGCAGAGGCTGTCCCCTCAACATTTCCGAAATGTAATCCTAAAGCAGCAAAAGGCAATTTTGTTGAGACTAGCTCTGAGTCCAGTAGCACCCTAGAGACCAAAAAGGTCCTTTGAATCCTGAGTCCTTTCTCTGCAACACCCCTTCCACCTTCTGACTAGGTATAAGGACTAGGGATCTCCATTTCTGCCTGTATCTGATGAAGAGAGCTTTGGTTCACTGTCCCAGACAGAGTGTTCCCTCTATATTTTGTGGCTCATAGCCACTGATGGACCTCTGCTCTATATGGTTATCCAGTCCCCTCTGGAACCTGTCTGTGCTTATAAAAACATAATGGAAGAAGCCCTGTTGGAGATGCCAAGGATTAGACATGGGACTTTAGTGTGCAGAGCATGTGTTTCAATTCCTCGGCAATGCACTGCAGCCACAAGTTTGCCGGCTCTTTCGAATGAAACGTGAACTGTTTATCACAGCTCTCTGCTCAAGGAAAACAAGTTGGGATACCTACAGGCCCAGGTGTTGCTCAGCTTGCATTTAGGGGGTAGCGTGTTGCTCTGAACAGATTACAATGCACTGCTATGAAGCAGTGTGGTGTAGTGGTTAAACCAAGATCTGGGAGACCCAGGTTCGAGTCCCTGCTTTGCCATGGAAGCCTGCTGGGTGGCCTTTGGCCAATCACACTCTCTCAGCCTAGCCTACCTCAGAGGCAGTGTTCCGTCTAAGCTGAGTAAGTGTGCGCTAGCTCACAGTTTTTTAGCCTCCGCCTCGCACATTTTTGTCTCAGCCCAGGAAGGATGGGCTCCAGAGCAAAGTAATTTAAGCAAGTAGCCAAATGGCCGGCTCACAACTTTGATGCCAGTAGTAGCTCCCAATGTAGAATTTTTGGTCACAAGACTCCACAGCTTAGAGGGAGCATTGCTCACGGGGCAGTTGTGAGGCTAAAATGGGGAACGATCAGGGGTCATTTCCTGAGGGAGCGCACAGGAGTGGAGCTCCGGCAGTAAGGAGCCCAGGGGGCAGGCACATGCAACATGCCCTGCCCCCTGCTCCCAGCAGCCCTCAGTCAGGCCACGAGGAGCAAGAAGCAACCAGGTAAGTTGCAGAGCCCCCCCCCCCGGCCTACATGTCCCCCCCCCCCCATATCAAGCAATCCAAAACAGTCCAGTGGCACCTTTAAGACCAAGTTTTATTCAGGTACAAGCTCTCCCTCCTCTGCGAGGACAGATCTGCACGCCCCGCCCCCCTGCTAGCAATCCAAAACAGTCCAGTGGCAACTTTAAGACCGAGTTTTATTCACGTACAAGCTCTCCCTCCTCTGTGAGGGCAGATCTGCATGTTCCCCCCTTCCCCAATAGCGAGCAATCCAAAACAGTCCAGTGGAGCCTGAGCGGTGGGTGTTGCCTTCTGAAACACTTCCGGTGATGTCAGGGGGTGTGGCATATGCAAATAAGCTAATAAGTTATGCTAATGCGCTCCTGCACCTCTTTTTCTACAAAATGACCCCTGAATGTAGACCACTTTGGGTCCCCGTTGGAAAAAGTGCAGTTTAAATGACATAAATAAACTCAGGTTGGGCTCTGAGTTCTTGCTCACCATCTTCCCCTCTCCCGTTTTATTTCTCTTGCATTAAGAACCCCAGATCTTGCAAGATGCAGGCTGCCTTAATGGAAAACCAAGGGGTCCTATCGGTCACGGAGCTCCTCATCGTTTGCAGTGTTTCCTGTCTGGTCCTGATGGTCGCGAAATCCTTCTGGAAGTCGGTCCCCCGGGGGCTGAAGAGGGTCCCGGGACCGAGGGGTTACCCTCTGCTCGGGAACATCCTGGACCTGGGGAAGAACCCTCACCTGGCCCTGACCCAGATGAGCCAGAAATATGGGGACGTGATGCAGATCCAGCTGGGCGCACAGCCCGTCCTAGTGCTGAGCGGGCTGGACACGATCCGGCAAGCGCTGGTGAAGCAGGGAGAGGACTTCATGGGACGCCCCGACCTCTACAGCTTCCAGTTCATCAGCGAGGGCCAGAGCTTGACCTTCGGCCACGATTCCGGGGAGGCCTGGCGGTCGAGCCGGAAGCTGGCCCAGAACGCCCTGAAGACCTTCTCCGCCTCCCCGAGCCCGACCTCATCCTCCTGCCTCCTGGAGGAGCACGTCTCCAACGAAGCCGACTACCTGATCCTGAAGTTCCAGGAGGTGATGAAGGAGGAGGAGAGCTTCGACCCCTACCGGTACCTGGTGGTCTCGGTGGCCAACGTCATCTGCGCCATGTGCTTCGGGAAGCGCTACGGCCACAACGACCAAGAGCTCCTTAGCTTCGTCAACATAAACAACGAGTTTGGGGAGGCGGCTGCTTCGGGGAACCCGGCCGACTTCATCCCGCTCCTCCGGTACCTTCCCAACCGGACCATGAAGGCCTTCAAGGATCTCAACAGGCGGTTTGGGACATTTATTCAGAAGATTGTCAGAGAGCATTACACCAGCTTCGACAAGGTAAACATGATTGGGAGCAGGGTTCCCTCTAAGCTGAGTGAGTGTGAGCTGGCTCACTGGCAGTGTTCCCTCTAAGCTGAGTGAGTGTGAGCTGGCTCACTGGCAGTGTTCCCTCTAAGCTGAGTGAGTGTGAGCTGGCTCACTGGCAGTGTTCCCTCTAAGCTGAGTGAGTGTGAGCTAGCTCACAGTTTTTTTTAGCCTCCGGCTCACACATTTTTGTCTTAGCTCAGGAAGGAGGGCTCCGGAGCAAACTAACTGATGCAGCAGCCAAATCGCTCGCCCACAACTTTAATGCCAGGAGCTCACAAAGCAGAATTTTTGCTCACAAGACTCCACGGCTTAGAGGGAGCATTGCATGGGAGCCCCTTCCGTGCAGAAGCACCGGAGAGGCCACTGAGATTTTGGGTGTACGAGTTTTCAGGAGTCAAAATCCCCGTCAAATACCCTGAAAAGCTTGTTGGTCGCTAAGGTGCTATAGGAGTCGAATTTAGCTATTCTACTGTAGCTCAGCATGGCTACCCTCTCTGAAGCCATTCCACATGGTTCTTCAGTTTTGGCATTCCTCTCTGGCTCTTCTCTATCAGATTCTAGCTCAGAGGAACCACAATGTGAAGCCACCCTATGTAGGATGTTATTAGTCCCTTAAAAGAAAAGGTGGAATTTACCTATCCCATCCCCTCTAAAGAGCAATTTTATGGCCTGTCTCCCTTTGGTTATTTCGGTGTAGTGGTTAAGAGCGTGGAGTCTCTGGATGTTTTATCACCAGTTTGGTGTAGTGGTTAGGAGCGGGGACTGTAATCTGGGAGAACCGGGTTTGATTCCCCCACGCCTCCACATGCAGCTGATGGTGCGAACTTCGGTCAGTCACAAGTTCACTCAGAGCTGTTCTCTCAAGGGCAGTTCTCAAGAGTGCTCTCTCAGCCCCACATACTTCACGGGGTGTCTGTTGTGGGGAAGGGAAAGGAGATTGTAAGCCACACTGAGACTCCTTCAGGTAGTGAAGGGCGGGGTATAAATCCAATCTCTTCTTCCTCTTCCCGCTCCAATCTGAATGGGGGAAGGCATATGGGTGTCATTGAATGGAAAGAGGATCTGGAAGATCCGACCATGGGTTCTTCCACCAACTTGTCTATTTTTCCATATAATTATTTGGATGGGGCCATAGAGGTCATCCAGACCACCCTTTGCAGTGCTCAGTGTAGGAAACCCAAAGCTACAGGAGCATCCTCAACAAATGGCAGTCGAGCTTGCAAACGGGGATGAACATATGGTGTAGTGGTTAAGAATGCTAGACGAGTATCTGGGAGACCCAGGTTCGAATCCCTACTTGTGCCAGGGAAGCTCACCGGGTAGTGGGGGAGAATAGATAAGAGCCAGTGTGGTGTAGTGGTTAAGAGTGCTGGGTTAGTCTCTGGGAGGCCCGAGTTAGAATCCCCACTTGGGTCATGGAAGTTCACTGGGTGGGTGGCCTTAGTCCAGTCACATTCTCTCAGCCTAACCTACCTCACAGGATTGTTGTGAGGGTAAAATGGAGGGAAGGAGAATGATGTAAGCTGCTTTGGGTCCCCAATGAGGGGAAAGGCAGGTTATAAATAACTCAGTCAGGGACAGGTTCCCACCCTGTACCTGGTTCCTTTGTCAAAATGCTCTTAACTGCTAGCAAATTTTGTCTCTCATGACGTGCGTTAACCAAAGACTCCAGCACCAATGGTCTGATCCAGTCCAGTGTCTTGACCCACTGTTCCTGTCCGGTCTTGTGTGTTTCAGGAGCACATCCGAGACATCACCGACTCCCTGGCTAGCTACGGGGTTCCTTTGTCAAACTGCTCTTAACTGCTAGCAACTTTTGTCTCTCATGACGTGCGTTAACCAAAGACTCCAGCAACAATGGTCTGATCCAGTCCAGTGTCTTGACCCACTGTTCCTCTCCGGTCTTGTGCGTTTCAGGAGCACATCCGAGACATCACCGACTCCCTGATTGACCACTGCCAAGATAAGGTGGACGAGAACGCCAACATCCAGCGTTCGGATCAGAAGATCGTCAATATCGTCGGCGATCTCTTTGGCGCAGGTGAGACCCCCGGTAATTGAAAGGCCTCCTCCGCCAGCATGTCTCTGCCTGCCGGTAACTGCTCCAATCAGTAGATTGTAAAGATAGCAATGACACCAGTTACAGCTGCTGCTAATGGGATGTATTGCATTGTTCCCCCCAATGCGCAGAATTTGGCTGCAATATATTGTCCATTTGGCCTGACCTGGATAGCCCAGGCGGTAATCGAAAGGCCTCCTCCGCCAGCATGTCTCTGCCTGCCGGTAACTGCTCCGATCAGTAGATTGTAAAGATAACAATGACACCAGTTACAGCTGCCGCTAATGGGATGTATTGCATTGTTCACCCCAATGCGCAGAATTTTGCGGCAATATATTGTCCATTTGGCCTGACCTGGATAGCCCAGGCTAGCCCAATCTTGTCAGATCTGGAAAGCTAAGCAGGGTCGGCCCCGGTTAGTCCGTGGATGGGAGACCACCCGGGAAGTCCACGGTCGCTACGCAGAGACAGGCTATGGCAAAGCTGTTGGGGTTAGCTGGTACAGTTAGTCCAGTAACCACTGACTCTTTAGCAGAGTGCATAACGCTTCTAGCACAGGAGCATGTCCAATGAAGGTAACAAAGCCACAAACGTACACAGAGCCATGTCTTCAGTTTAACAGAGTCATACTCAGGGGTTATTTCGTAGAAAAAGAGGTGCAGGAGCTCATTAGCATAACTCATTAGCATAACTTATTTGCGTATGCCACACTCCCTGTTATCACCGGAAGTGTGTCAGAAGGCAACACCAACCGCTCAGGCTCCACTGGACTGTTTTGGATTGCTAGCTATTGGGGGGGGGGAACATGCAGATCTGCCCTCACAGAGGAGGGAGAGCTTGTACCTGAATAAAACTTGGTCTTAAAGCTGCCACTGGACCGTTTTGGATTGCTATCTATGGGGGGGGGGGGCTCTGCATCTTACCTGGCTGCTTTCTGCTCCTCGTGGCCCGGGGCTGCTAGGA